TTGTCACATTAAAATGCTTTATGGCTAATCTTTTATATAGTATCTTAATAAATGCCCCTTTTTTGGATGCTATTCCACTTTGTCATATTTTAACCATTTTGTACGTTGTTATATGCCTCACAGTTTAAAATTTTATCCCTCAATACGTGGAATTCCAATGGCAAAAATTCATGCAGAATATTTTCATTGGTTTTAGAAAGCGAAGAAAATTCCTTACTATGGAACGGCCGCTCTTATCGCTGATACGGCTTTCGCAAGTTAGATAAAATCTTTCGACGTTAAGCTTCAGTTAGGCTCGATTAGATTGACTAATGTTGTGTAGTATCTGGTATCTAGAAAATTCTTCAGGTCAGTTTACTTCATTTACTTTGATACTGCTTGCTGATTGGACCGGCATGTCAAACTGAGAAATGACATTGAGAATATACTAAATAAGTTTGATTAAATATTTGCGATCTTTGTAATAATATATAGTTTATTGAACTCCGGAAGGAGATAAGGTGGCAGAGATCGAGTGAGATACCTGAACCAGAAAGGTAGGAGGCCGATCCTACGAGGCAAGAGGGAGACGGATAAGACCAATGGAAAGAGGATTGTGGGGTGAGGGGCTAATAAAGCCAGCGTGGGGTTCAGAGAGTTCTCATGAAATTCGCTAAAAATGGCACACCATACCATATTTAAACAAGCAGTTAAGAAATTGTGATAGTGAAGGGATGATACGAGGATATAGGGTTGGTAAATAGCCCACGACGGAAGGGGGGATACCACAATTGTTTAGCAGAAATTAAGTCAAACGATTGGCTTCATTTGTCTCTGACGAGTTGCTAAGACTGGCAAAGCTCACTGAAGATGCCGGCGAAACGTCTGGGAATGTACCACGTTTACGATCCTACTCTGGAAATTATCATGCATACAATGGACTCCGGACTAGGTGTGTTCCTCTATGTTTTCCTACCAATATGACCTGGTTGTGAAAGCAAGGTTAAATAAGTTCTATCCGGAAGGATATTTTTGTTTCTTATTAAGGATCACTATAGTTCTATAATGTGCTCGTGTAACAGGACAAAAATATCGGCATTGCCTTGTATCTAATGTCCTGTGATATATCCTAACTTTCTACACTTGTTGATACGGCCGAACTGTTTAATCCTAATTAAATAAATCTAACCTGAATGAAGCTATTATCGTCTCATTTCAAAATTTCTTGTGTTTATTCTATAATTCATATTCTAACTACCTATGCTTCTTTTGATTCACAGCCATATCTGCGTCAAAATTAATTCTTGTTTTTATACCTCTGTCCGGGAATTTATTTAGGCCTCAAAACGTCACTTCTTCCTGATCCTTCCTCAGATTCTCGATCTGACTGCCCG